CAGCAGGGAGTCTGCTTCTCCCTCTGACCCTCACCCCTCTCATGCTCTCTCTCTCATTCTCTCTCTCAAATAAATAAATAAAAAATCTTTAAAAAAAATAATAAAAATAAATAAATAAATAAATAGGGCTAGGGGCTTTCATGAATGCAACCACCCTGTGACGCCGAACATGGGGGATTTCTCAAGCGTATATCAGCACTCAGGTCTAGACCAGGAAGTGGAGGACTTTAAGCAAAACTGAAAGTACAGAAGGTCATTTGGGTCAGAATAAAATCACATTCTCTAGCTGGGTTCCCCCCAGAACGCCACTCATTACTGTGTATGGAGTTCTGAGCACTGTGAAGAGGCAGCATCCACGGGTCCTGCAATGAGCGTGATCCACCAGACGTGGATGTGGACATGTTTCTAGGTAAATGTGAGAACAAACACATGCCACTGTGGTCTGTTTCCCCTCGAAGGTTTTCTTCCCCATGCTGGGCAGAGCCATTTGGCTTTTACTCTTCATTCGAATCCCGGCCCTCCTTCCACCACCTGCACTGGGTGGAGAGCCAAGTGGCAGTTTCTCTGGTGGTATGAGCCCAGTCTGAATGACCGAATGCTGCCTTCCAAAGAGGATTCTGACCGTTCTTCCAAGGACGCAAGAAACTACCATGGGACTTCTGGGATGTAAAACGTTTTAAGTGCTCAAATACTTCTCAGGAAATGTGCTTTTATCTTGATTTGAGATGCTAGTTGTTGTGCAGGCTTTAACTGCAGCCTCCAAAGATATCCAGAATGTTCCACTTACTGGCCACAGGGGAGAAAGGTAAGCAGAGCTGAACAGCTACTGCCCAACAGCTACTGAACCTCCCTGTTTTGCAAAGTGCATCATGGCTGGCATGCAGTGAAGACAGGAACTGTTCTCGAGGAACGACAGCAGTGGCCGAAGACATTCTGCTAAGTGAGCACATGTCCTCCTGGACCAATCCCAGGCCTCAGCGTTCTCTCCGGCACTGGAATACCAACACATCTCCTGGAAAGGGGCCCACACCACCTCCTGGGATTCCCTGGCTTTCCCCAAGGGTATGGCTTTTGTCTCTCTCACCAGAGACACTGATGTTCTTCCAAAGGGCCGGTTCCAAGTCTCGCATTTCCTAGCTTCCTCCACCCTGGTCTCTAATCTGCAGTAAACCATTGTTTTTAAAACAGTAATCCAACTAAAGATTGAAGTTTAGCAAGAAAGAAATAATTAGCAAATTCATTGCCTCTTTACATATGTTATATAAACTGTTTCCTCACCTAACAAGTTCAGTTTACGGGAAAGGTGCTGGGTTTAGCGCACCACCTGATACAGAGGAGATGTTTAACAATACTGTCACACAAAAAGGGGAAATTCTATTTAATGCGATTCACACCCCAAAACAAAACATCTCAGACCAAGGACTAACACTCAAGCTCCTGGGCAACCACTAGAAATGGTGTGTAAAATCAAAGCCAAATACATTAAGTAGTTGACTAGTTTGGACCACAGGGGAAAAAAGTACGTATGAGCCAGACAGCAGCCCATTTTGCAATGCCGACTGTAGCTGTTCAGAGCCTCCTGCACCTCTTTCTCATTTGAAAAGAGAGAACGGAGGAAAAATACTATATTATGATGACTGGGATTAAAGACAGTGGATGATTAAAGTGGAAATTAGCAAAACAGAGAACAGCAAATCAAAACAGGAAAATCAACAAAACCAAAAATTTGTTCTTGGTAAATATCAACAAAATTGATAAACTTTCAGCTAGATTGACCAAGAAAGAAAGAGAGAAGACTCCACTTACCAAAAGCGGGAATGAAAGAAGGGATATCACTACCAACTCTACAGAAATACAGAGTGTTTAAGAGGAATACTATGGGACACCTGGGTGGCTCAGTTGGTTAAGCGTCTGCCTTCGGGTCAGGTCATAATCCCAAGGTCCTGGGATCAAGTCCCGCATCAGGCTCCCTGCTCTGCAGGGAGTCTGCTTCTCCCTCTGCCCCTCCTCCCACTTGTTCTCTCAATCTCTCTCTTTCTCTCTCAAATAAATAAAATCTTAAAAAAAAAAAAAGGGAATACTGTGAACCATATGCCAACAGAGTA